TTTTTCTTCCTCTCTTTTTTTTTCTTCCTCTCTTTTTTTTTTTTCCCTCCCTCCTTTTTTCCTTCCTCTCTGGCATTCCCCCTTATCCTGTAACTCCTTTCAGGATACAATATTCAAAAAAAAAAAAAAAAAACCCTCCCATTTTTCCCAAAATAAAAGCAGGATTTAATGAAACTTCCTGCTCAGCTTTGATAATTTAATGTTTATATTACCTCCTCAAAACTGATTTATTTTACTTCATTCCAAGTCCTGGGAGCTCCTTTCCTCATGATCCTTTTATTCCAAAAAAAAAAAAAAAAAATCTGACCAGGGAATCCTTCAGGATTGCAGTGAGGATAAGGATGAGGGACACAGGGAAATCCTGGGGAGAAAAAAAAAGAAAATATTAAAATAAATGAATATAATAAATTAAAAAATGAGGAATTCAGTGGCTCTGGAGGGTTGTGAGTTGTAACCCAGCCTGTGGGACAGGGAAAGGTTCATCCCCTCCTTCCTGAGGGAATTTGGGAAGTTTGTTTGGAATGTTAATAATTGATAATTGCTGGATGAAGCCTTGGTCAGCAGCAAGAGCTGGGATCCAGGTTCCAAATCCAGGCATTTTACAATTCCCATCTCCTTGCACAAGGAAAAAATGGGAATTCCTCCTGGGAATAAGGAGGAAATTTGTCCTGCAGGAATTGCCTGGTGCCTGTTTGCAGTAATTAATGATTCTGAGGGTCCAAATCCTGCTGAGAGACACAAAATCTGCCCTGGAGGGGTGGAAAAAAGCAACAAAACTTCCCTAAAAAAGGGAAAACCACCGTGGGCAAAACCAGGTTAATTTTAAACCAATTGTTGGCAATTAAAACCAAAGAATCTCTTTGCAAAGAATCTCTTTGCAGTGATAAACCACCAGGAATTATTATCAGTTAAAAAAAAAAAAAATTTAAATTATTCATCATTTCCTGCAGAGCTTGAGGATTTTTTTTTTCTTTTTAATTATCCAAGACATTTAAGTGGCTGCAGAGTTTTCATTTGTTATTAATGATTTCTCATTGGTAATTCCTGTTTTATCTTTTTTTTTTTTTTTTCAGGATTCACTACAATATTTTTTACTGTTTGTCTCTGATGGAAAATTCCTCTGGAATTGTGCAACCTGTGGAAGAGGGAAGAGTGAATTTGTTTTCCAGGTAATGCCCTGAGGAAATGCTGAGAATTCCATGGAGTGGGGAACAAATAATTCCAAAACAGGAAAAAGGTGGAGAATGTTGCACAACCTCCACTTTACCATGAATTCCCAGAGGAAAATCAGGATTTGGGCTTTAAATGTGAAAAATTGGAATTGCTGAGTTAAAATTCACTGCTGGGTCTGGGAATGCTTTGGAATCACCCAGGGACACCTCCCACAGTCCCAGGGTGCTCCAACATTTCCTGGGACACTCCAGGGATTCTCTGGGAATTCCTAATTCCCAAATCTCCCCTTTCCCAACCTGAAGCCATTCCCTGTGTCCTGTCCCTCTGTCCCTTGGAGTCCCTTTATTCCCTGGAATGTTCTGGAAGCTCTCCCTGGATCATTCCCAGGTTTTTCTCTCCAATTTTTCAGTTTCAAATCCCCCCAAATTCCCAGGGGATCTGGGTCTCCAGCCTGGCCTGGGACATTTCCAGGGATGAGGCAGCTCCAGCTTCTCCAGGAATTCCATTCCAGTCCTTCCCCAGCCTGGAATTCCCAAAATCCCAGCCCCAGTCTCCCCTTTTCCCATTCCCTGTGTCCTGTCCCTTGTCCCTCTCCAGCTTTCCTGGAATTTATTCCCTGGAATGTTCTGGAAGCTCTCCCTGGCTCCTTCCCTTCTCCAGGTGAACATTCCCATCTCTCCCAATCAATCAGGAATTAAACACCTCCCTGGCCTTTGCAGATCCAAGCTTGATTCCTTTTTTTGCTGCTGGATTGATTTCATTCCTCATTTAATTCTTTATCCTCATCTGGAGAATGAATTTATCCCATTCCCTTTCATCACTGAGGTCTAGCAGAGATAAAACTGGTTTTAATGAGCTTAAGGTGCCAAATTCATTCTTAAAGCATGGCTTAATCCCTTAAAAAGATATTTTCCTTTACTTGTGTGTGATATTTTCCTATATTCCCTAAAAAAAATCTTCCCTGATATTTCTGATTTCATCTCCTGTATTTTCTTATTCCATACTTTTCCCCTTTTCCCGAGTTGCTCCCAAAATTGGATGGGATCAATCAATCCCTGTTAATTTGTTTTATGTGGGAGGATTTCTTTTAGGGAATTTTAAAGGATTCATTCCTTTCCCATTTGTTGATTGGAATTTTTTCCCTGTTTTTTTGTTTTTTTTTTTTTTTTTTTAAAGTGGAAGGGCTGATGTCAGACTGACCCATGAGCAGCAGAGGATTTTAAATCACAAAATTGAGCCTGGCCAAACAGTGAAAATCATGGCATTTGCAGGTAAGAGCCCAAAATAATGGTGGAAAAATGACATTTTGGGACAATTCCCAATCT